AAAGGTTGCTCTTTTCAAAATGTACCTTTAATCTAAAAAAAAAAAAAAAAAAACTCTCACTGGAGAACACTTACCATTTTACTGAATATGAATGTATAGCTGTATACAGTAAGCAGGAAAACACATTAGTTCAAACAGTCTGTAGTTTTTACATTGATCTCACCTTTTCAAAGTCCTCATATAAAAACCAGATTCAAAATAACCTGAAAACATAGAGATGTACATTTCCTTAAAGATTTCACACCAAGGTTTATAAGCTATAGATCTGAGAGGATTCCATTCAGGGAATCCAACTTGCTTTCAATTTCAATGACGTTTATTGGCAAACTATAAACACACATGCAAAGCCATATGCAAATATTGTTATTGGTAATTTTTTCATTTGATGTAGCAAAGTATCCAGGGACTGCTGAGTCTATAGGAGTACATTGAACTCATTATGTTAAAGTATTCAATTTGAGATGCTTTAAGCTTTGTGGCGTCGATATACATGGATCCATGTTTTTATATTATTTACTTCCATGACAGCTCAACTTTGCTACTGAAGCTGAGGCATAAGTTTGGTTGTAACAAATAGATTAAGTTAAAGAAACATTGCCTTTCTTCTCTAACACGTCTATCAACTGCCCTTCCAACTTACAAGAAATGTTTATTCTTCCAACTTTTCTCCAGATTCTTTCTCTTTTCCTGTATTCTAATCCTGAATATTTTGAATGAAAGCCTTAGTAGATTAGTAGTAGTCTAGATGCCTATATGCACAATGCTGCTTTTTTTTTTTTTTTTACTTTTTTGTATATTCCATCTTTTTCTCTTCTTAAAAATAGTGAAAAGCAAAAGAAGGACACAGAAATCAAAGATGGGTTGAGAGTGAAGAAAATATAAAAGCATAAACGAGAAAAGCTCCATTTAGACTTCTATACGCCTTCTTCCTGCCAAATATAATGCTATTAAAGCATATAGTAGGAGTTGTCCTATTTACATTCTTTTTTCATTTAAAGAAGAAATATGTACTGTTATGATTTCCTTAAGAAAGAAGAAACAAACCATCTCCAGTCATCCATGATAAGACACCTACACAATTCAGCACCTCTGCAGGTTCAGCCATCAGGCTTCCTAACAGACATAGAAGCTGCTCCCACTCTATAAGCTTCAACGTTACTGTGGGCAAATCCCTTCAGCGTTCCCGTCCCACTCATGTGTTTATAGATATGACCTCTTCGAAGCCCTCTCAAATGATATATGTGGAGGAGTTAAGGCTAAGTCAAATTCCATACAAAAGGAGTTATCAAGCTGCAACTTGTCAAATTTGTTAGTTGTTGATTTAATAAAAAATATATGTACTAATTTTTGATTAATACAAATTTATAGATTTTTTATTATACCAAAAAGATGAAAATTAAGAAATTCAGCAATAACCTTACAATCTATACAAAATATGGCATCAGACTTAGATGAAATATGTCTAAGACTTAGGGCCGGATCTATCAAAGGTTTGCGTGTATAAAAACGTGAGCTATTTCACTGCGCACGCTAAAAAATGTACAAACTGATCTATCAACAGCGTGCTAAAAGGATTTGGTCTTTAAAACGTGCTAAATAGCGCCTCTTATCCATTTAGTACTTTTTCTGCAATGAATATAGAATATGGGGCGTTTACATGCAAAAGTGCGTCTTGTGGGAGGAGAACATGTAAATATATTAATTTAGCACTCACAAAGTGATTTATTAAACCTGAAAGCAATTTTGCTAACGGTATCTGACTCTATATTTAACACGTTTCAAAAGAAGGTGCAAATGGTCTGTATGCATAATCTGACCTCATGGCAGCGGTTATTGTCGCAAGAAGGAGACATCGAAATGAAGAAGACGCAGAGAACGCATTTTTTCACTCCGTGTGAATATTTTTGGAATGAACGAGAAAACGATCATCAAAACATATCGTTTATCCAGCATTGCCATTTTGGAGCTGTTGGGGGAACTCCGACTGGATTTGGAGCCAGCCACAAGGAGGACCCACGCAATACCAGCTATCACAAAACTCCTTGCAACATTGGATCTCCCAGTCTCGTTTTTCAGAAGTGCTGTCCGACGTTCTAAATGCCATGTCGCCCTGACGTCCTACCAGAGAACCCCGACCTCTGCGCCTGTGGAGCAACATGCCAATGCTGCGGGGATGCGTACGCGCAGTAATCACATCCACAGTCACTTCTTGTGAGCCATTTGGTATGTGCATTTTTCTACAGGCCAATACAAAACACCTATTTTTTTTTTTACTGCAATGAAGTAGAAATTCAGCCACATACCACCTTAGGGGATAAAGGTTGCCAAAGTTTTTTCTTTATATATATATATATATATATATATATATATATATATATATATATATATATATATATATATATATATATATATATATATATATATATATATATATATTTTTGGAGGGGGTGGGGGTGTCACTGTAAGATTTAAATTTCTTAATGCACTAGTTTGTACAAACTACTTTGCCGCAAACCACAAAACGCGCAAAACCATCATTTAAATAGGGCGTCTCCAACAGTTTTGCACCTGCCACCAGTTACGCAATCGCTCTTGTTAAATCACCCGCAAACCATGGTTCAGCCCCTTGCGCAAAATTCACAGTTTGCGAGCGCAAATTACTGCACGCAAAATTGGATCTTGATAAATCCGGCCCTTAGACTTAGACTCAATTTTTTTCATCCTTTGGGATTACTCCTTCAGGGAAATTCTGGTTCCAGTAGCTTATATAGAGTATAAAGTGCAGAGTTAAAACAAGAACCCATTAAATAAAAATACAACAGACAATATAAAAAGAGTGAACATAGTAAAAAAGAGCACAAAAAGTTGTAATGTCCTGGAATATGTTTCCTTTAGATATAAAAATATATGCATGATTGAGAGCTTAGGATATATTACACAGCAGTTGAATTGGATTATTGCACATGCACTGCAGAAATGTACTCAGCATATAAAAAAGTCAAAATTATACAGACTACACAGTAGTTGGCTTGGATTATTGCACTGAATTATATTTGCATCTATTTTAAAGAGTTTTGACTGAAAATTATTTGGAAAGATTTTTTTTGTATTCTTTAAAAAGTTTCTTAGTGATTAGGTAATCTTGGAAAACTTGAAACATTTTTTGTTCACAGACTCACTGTACAGTATGTTACAAGTGTTTAAGTGTACAAGTGTTTAAGCTTAATCAGTGTTAATCTTAATAATTATGATTTATCTCTAAAAACAAAAAGAAATTTAGTTGCTCCAAAAAAGCAGATATATTATAGAACCATTGAGCAAAAAATCATTATTTTATCTGTATAAAAAGAAAAAGTAGTATAGTGCAATGTCAGAAACCATCTCTCTGTGTTGTTCTCTACTCTCATGTGAACAGGTTCTACTCAAGGCTTTATTTCCTCCCTGTTCAGAGGGAGCAGTGTAGTGTGGGAGTAAAACTGCAGAGTACTTTCAATAGATCGAAACATTCACCCGGAGATGGTCTTTTACTAAAATGAACTCCACTTGCTAAGTTATGAGTTACTCAACTCCTCACTAGACATGTTCCTTTGGAAGGTGATGCTGTTTTGCTGTCCATTTATCATTTGGAAATATGTGGAAGCAAAGGTTCAGGTTGGGGTTGCAGCTGGAGTGGAGTTAAAGAGAAGTTCTGTCACATGTCTACAGACAGTGCTCAACAGCCCAGCTAGTGGTAAAATTTCACTCATGTGCCTTTGAAGACCAAAAAAGATATTTCACACAGAATTGTGGTCTAAATGGAAGGTCTTAGCACTCAACTTAGTAAAGTTTTAGGCTAATATTTCCATACCAAAACCCTGCTAAGGAAAAGTGGGTGCAGAAAATAAGTGATTGGATGTATAGTATGATTTGCAAATCAGCACTGGTTACAGAGACTGGAATTTCACACTGCACCAGCTTGGGTTTTGTGTCATTTAATCTATTTTCAGCCTGTTGAAATTCAAAATTTAGTAAGCACTGTGGATAGAAGTCTGTTCCTTTTTCCTTTAATTACTGGTAAGCCTCTGTCTCTGGTTCAAGAGTGGCCTACTTCAAACAACATCAGAATTGTAGTCCAGGTCGCGGATAGGTCTTTTATTGGTTTTGAAGCTGTTACTTTATCTCCACAATTTTTAAATATCTTCCACTGTATTAAAATGACTTTGCTGTTTAAACTCATGGCTGCATGACTGTTTCCCTCTATTAAAATAAGGTTAAACTTGTCTAAATAGAGCAATTTATGAGGAGACTGTTTCTTTTGCAGTTTTCTGGATCAGCCTCCCTGTAGAGTATGTCAATCAACAGTAACCTTCCCATAGCTGTGTATTCCATGATGTCAGATTTTTGTATTCATGGGTATTAATTGCTTGGTCGATGCTGCCAGTAAGTCTTTTGCTGGAGCTTTGTTGTTGTCAATGGGCAGCTTCCTTTGACAGAATCCAGCTATATCCATCAATAATCCATCAATAATTTTATTTCAAATCTCTTTTAACAATCAGAACAGTTTTGTTCTTGCAAGGTAATGATATTATCAGTGCACTATCAGGACAGTAGTCAAGACTTGCTCAGTTTCTTTAATGTAATGTGACTGCAAAGGTATTTGCACTGTTTTATCTTAAGGATGCCCACAAATGTGCAAAAACTAGGAACTTTATCCTGGAATGTAGAGTTCTGAAGATTCCTCATTAAATTTGTTGAAATCTTCAATATGATCCTAAACTGCTTTTTCTGTTATATTTGTGTGTTTCATAAAAACATATTATTTGTGTCATAAAATAATTTTTTTTTTAAAATGACCGGTGCTCAGTCGATAATCATCTCTCATTGAAAAATTGTTGTTTGACTCCCTAAACCATAAGTACCCCTTTATGTGTCACAACTTTTAGTTAAGAGCCCTCATGCAATCTTTTTAAGCAGGTTGTCCCTGTGGTTAAAGAAGTTGGATTTAATTTTTTTGTCAACAGGATGGCCTTTTGGAAGCCTGGTCTGTAAAATGAGTGGCATGGTTCAAGGGATTTCAGTTTCAGCCTCCGTCTTCACTCTGGTTGCCATTGCAGTTGATCGGTAAGGATTCTTTTTTTTTTTTTTTTACTAAAACAGAGCATTTTTTTTCTTAGTATGTGTTTTTAAATATTTTTTTTGGTAAAATTTTATTTTGCAAGTATTGTTTCCAGTACTAGTCTAATTTTAGTGTTTGCAGTACTTCTTGTACAGTTCGCTGCACGTTGATGTATTCTAAGCACATTTGTATCCCTTGGCCACAGTAGGAAAGAGTTGTTGCAAATCTCAATGTATTGAAGCGGTGTTATATAGAAGAGGGGACCTAAAAGCTTCCTCTCTGTCTGCCCATTTCCCATAGAGATATTGTGATTACTCTGGGTATGGGTGGAAGCCTTAAAAAAAAGAAAAAGCCAAAAAAAGAGATATGTTGCATACCATAAGCCAAAGCATTCAGTTGCTTCAGAGGACTTAATGGAGGATGGAAGGGCGACAGAAACTATCAAGCTTTGAAAGTGACAGCTGTTATTTAGAGGTTAGGTGTCCTGTGATATCATTGTCAATGTTTGAAATCCCTAGAGGACACCATCACCCCTGGAAAGAAAATATTAATTCTACAGTGCATTGGTGTCTTCAATTTAAAGTCACCTTATCAGACAGAAAATTACTAGTATCAGAAAGGGTAGGAAGATTAAAAATTGTTAAAGCTATTAAGATTTTTTTTATGATATCTAATTGTGCTAACAGCTTTATAGATATAATGGAATGACCCCAAATGCAATTCAGGAAAGTTGGAACTAATCAGACCATTTTCAACACCATTTAGTGATACTTTCTATGTTAAAACTTTTAATAAGTTAAGCTGTATCTTTAGATCCAACAGATTTTACAGACAATTTAGGAAAAAAAAAACTTTTCTCTTTGTTTTGGCTGGAATAGTCTAAGAAGGTTCCAGTGTTAGAAAATAACCCACATTATCTCACATTACAAAGACAAGTTAAATAGATAGAAATTGCTTTAATTCATATCACGGATACACACCTGGAAATTGTTGAGTCTACATATTTTTTTTAATCTTATCCATGATTCAATGCGTTGTGGAATCACCTTTGGCTTTAATTAAAACTACAGGTGTTTTTCCAATCTGAAGTCTAAAAGTGTTGCGCAATTGTCTTTACAAAATAGATTAAAATCAACCGAACTGGATGGAGAGGGTCTTTGAACATTAAGTATTATACAGATTCGGGCCTAGACGTTAGCCCCATTTACACTACCCTCTTAAAACAGATCCGTGCCGAGTTCGTACCAAGCTTGGATCAGATAACTGTGCCAAGCTGGGTTCCTTGCGACCGTTTACACACCACGCTAAGGGGAACACACAACGCTATAAGGCTTTTGGGAAGTGGATACAACAAACGATAGTCTAATCCGGGCTTACAGACGCAGGGAACAACTTCAGACATTAAGGCCCCGTCCACACGAAGACGAACCCTGGCCTAAACTTACCAAGTTTTTCACCAAACCAGGCTCTCATCCACACGAAGCCGGCGTTTCGGGGGTCTGTAAACGATCTTTTTTTTATTCAGCCTCCAGAGTGGGAAGATTTCGAAACGCCGTTTTCGCGTTTCCATCTTTACTCTCTAACCGCATATTTTTTTTTTACACGCATGCGTCATAGCGTCGCCTCTAAACACGCATGCGCGACACAGTATCACAACAACAATGGCGCCGTTGCTGCTAATGCTACTCACCCTGCTGTCGGGCTTACAACAGAATCTTCTTCTTCTGGAATATCTCCAGGAAGAACAGAGCAATATCGACGACATAGTTCAGCACCTGAATTTGACTTAACCACGAAAATGGACCTGCAGGGCAACCATGTATAAATATTAGTGCGCATGCCCAACATTTCGTCGCTTATTTTTGCTTTGGCACCACAGCGCCACTTACAGGCCTGGCATACATTTTGCAGCGTTTTCATGCATTCGTGTGGACGCTCACATTTATTTTACGTCTCCGTCTTTACGGCAAACGTTTTGGAAAATATCAGCGTTTCGTGTTCGTTTTGACTTCGTGTGGACGGGGCCTCAGGTTTATCACACTGCTAAGTAGAATCATCACTGGAAATCGTGTGACATGGCAGGGAAGTTAGTATTTTTATGAATGTCTAAAATTTCATGATTACAGAGATTGACTGTAGGGAGATGACGCAGCCTGTTCATGCGCTCTTTGTTATCTGAGATCCAGGCTCGAACAGAACAAGGCCGAGCCTTACCGATGAACTAGTACCAGTTTAACGCGGTTCGGTTGTGTCTAGCACGGTCCGGTTCAGTTGTGCCTGCCATTTACACTCAGCAGTTATCTCGGTTACCGTGCTCGGACCGTTCTAGGCACGTTTTCAAAAGGTTAGTGTAAATGGGGCTATAAATTGGGTCATTCTTAAAAACACTTTTTACTGAAACCACTCAGACCTTTCACTGCAGCTCTCCAAAGATGTGGAGTCATCAAGTCGTCTCAATGCCATGTGTTTGTTCTGTCCAGGCACTGAACCAGGTGAGTCCTATTTGCATAATGAAATTCCCTGTGCATATTTGACTCCCCTGGTTCACCTGGTCAGAACAAACACATGGCATAGAGATGAGTTGATGACTCCACATCCACCACCTCTGGCTCTCGCTGTATTTTATACTAGTTTTCCTGGATCAACCTCCATCTCAGTTTCAGTTTCATAGCTTTCAAAATGTATTTTTTCCAATATTTTCCTTATATCTACATCCAACTCTGACTCTTTCCTCTCCTTGGTGACTAAAACCATCATAAGTATGATGATGCCTCCATCATGTTCCAACAAGGGGATGGTGTTTTTCTCATCACAATGGAAGTTTAACCTTTCACAACACAAAGCTTTCAGCATTTAGGCCAGACAATTGTCTTTAGGTGTCACCTGACTAGAGCACCTTCTTCTTCATGCTTTTGGTGTTTTTTTACATTAGCAAGCACACCAAATTACAAACATATTTTTTAACTATTAGATCCTTTTTTTTAAAGAGCAGTTGTGAAGAGAACAGCTGTCAAAAGATTTACCCATCTGAGCAATAGATCCCTTCAACTTCTTCAGAATTATCTTGAAACTAAATGGTCTTTTTTCCAGCCTTTAATTTTAGGTGGATAGCCATGACTTGGTAGGTTTGCTGCTGTGCCGTGTTCTTTTATAGATCAGATCCTCTATTATACTCAGATCTATGAGAGGCCAATGCTTGGGATTTTGTTTTTACATCTAATTCTTTTTTGAACTTGTTCACAACTTTCTTTGATCTGTCAGTGTGTTCTTTGGACTTTGTAAAGCTGTTTTTATTCCCAGTAATGTTCTCTAAAAATCCCTTTACACAGTCACTGGACATCTGTACTTAAGCTGAGATTCACTACAGTTAGATGGATTCTGAAGACATTTGGACCTTATTTTATTTTTGAAAAAGAGGTAGGCAACGTCAGTCCTCCAAAGCCACTGTCCTGGAGCTTTTGAAACTGGTCTATGTGCATTCACACCTGAAACAAATAAATACTGAATAGTCAGGCCTCTGCTAAACGTGCTTAGATTTCAAGGTGGTATTTCAGTTGTGTTGTAGCCAGCATGTTCACAAAGGCTCCATGGCAGTGGCACTCAAGGGCTGACATTGCTTACACCTATTCTAAAGGAATATCCCCCTCCTGACCTTTCACCACTATACATTACTTTATTACTGGATAATAAAATCCTAAAAAATAAATAATACATTCACATTTTTGGTTTGAATGTGACAAACTAAAAGATGTTCAGTTTGGCTGAATATCTGTTCTGCATATCACTACACTTTCATCATTACCCTTTTGAAAAAAACAGTAGTTGTCCAAATAATTTCACTGTTCATGTATGGCCTAAATGAAGTGTCTCCTTTAAACCTGCAGGTTCAGATGCATTGTCTACCCATTCAAGCAAAAGCTCACCATATCCACAGCATCATTGATCATTGTCGTTATCTGGGTCCTGGCGATATCTATCATGTGTCCCTCTGGTGTGATGCTGCAGGTGACCAAGGAGCACACTGTTCGAGTCTTATTGGGTTACGACAACAAGACCAGCCCCTTTTACTGGTGCAGAGAGAACTGGCCTAACCAGGAAATGAGGAAAATTTACACCACTGTCCTGTTTGCAAACATCTACCTTGCCCCTCTTTCCCTCATTGTGATCATGTATGCTCGGATTGGAATTACACTCTTCAAAACAGCTGTTCCCACTGGAGGAAAGCCAGGCCAGGACAACCGCCACAATGTGTCAAAGAAGAAGCAAAGGGTGATAAAAATGCTTCTCATCGTTGCTTTGCTTTTCATTCTTTCATGGCTGCCTCTATGGACTCTCATGATGTTGAGTGATTACGCCAGGCTGACGGAGCAGCAGTACAGGATTATCAACATCTACATCTACCCCTTTGCACACTGGTTGGCTTTCTTCAACAGCAGTGTCAACCCAATAATCTATGGGTTCTTCAATGAGAATTTCCGTCGAGGTTTCCAAGCTGTGTTTAAGTTCAGCCTGTGTGCAGCAGATGGACAGAGGCGGAAAAGCTACTCACACAGATTGCAGGGGAACTCTGTGCTCCCAGCTAATAATGTACAGACATCACTGGAGCCCATTTCCTTAAACAGCATGGATAGGAACGCTTCCAGGCGAGTCAATCATGTCCCTGAACGGGAACTAGTGATGGAGGACCTGGAAAAGGGATCATGCAGTAGTGGAGGTGTGACTGCTGTGTCAATCTGATAACAGATGTTTTCTTCATTTATTATAAGGATGTCGAAATTTAAATCTGCCGTGCCTAAGTAAAGTACCACAACTAATTGAATGAGTTTCAGATATTGTTCCCAATTATGACATTTTTTAGTACGGACTAAAGGAGAAAGATAAAACATAGGAAAACCTATTCAGAAAGTGAAACTTATTCCTCAAAGTGAGCAACTTACCTTTGTTTTTCACTCTTGTAAAGAATTACAACTCTTAAACAGACCAGTTTAAATACAGTAGTTACTTTTTGGTTAAAATGTAATAATTTATTGGGGTTAAAATTCAAAGCTTATTGTGTTTTTTGTATCCTAATGATCCATTTAGGGCAAACTTGTCATAAAATGTTCTGCACAGAAAAAAAGGTAAGGTCTGGCAATATTACAAGCATTTTTCTCCTCTCCCATCGGCTCTATAAAAGTGTATTTTTGAATATTTATTAGATGCAGTAAAAAACTTATGCACCATGACACCTGCAGAGCACATTTCAAGTGAATGAATAAAACTTTAGATTTTGGTTGTAGTATTTGAGATGTTTGTAAAGAATATGGGGTAAAAATGTTTTCAATCAATGAAGGAAAACAATGCAAGGTGACTGCAAAAGGGAGCTCTTCTATAACTAGACTTGATTTTTGGAGAAATTAAAAACTGAAAGAGCCCAGATTATTTTCTGATATTAGGTTGTAAAGTTTCCTTATATCCACTCCTTCCTTGTACTGAGTTTGACCCTTTCTCTACAAAAATATCTGATTCCTTATGGTAAAGGTGCAACAAGATGTTTAACCATTGCTCCGAAATTCTACACCCTTTTCACATCATTAGATAATTTGGTTACTGCAGATTTATTAGCTGCGCTTGATTCAAGACTATATAAATCATCATTAGATCTAGAGAAAATATAGGTCCCTTAGGTATAGTGAACTAGTTGTCAAATTCATGAAACCAGTCTGGTATGTCTTAAAATTTGTGACCTAGTGCATTATCTTGCAGGATGTAGCAATTAAAAGTTTGTATGTTGTGTTCATAAAAAAATATGTAGTGGCATTTAGGTGATACTTAGTTAATGGCATTATTATGTGCCAAGAAAATCCCCTCACCTTCACAATATACCAACAGCTTCATCTTGCTTATGCCTCAATTGACTAAAGCATCCACATATTGCAGCTGATATATTAACACATTGGATCAGGCTAATGTGGTACCCCAGCACACACATTTGTCACAATTCGAAATGCTCTTTTTGTTTTTTTTTTTCATTTTTTCGGGAACAACAAAGATGCTTTCATGTAACTTTTCAAGTTACTCAGCAGTAAACTCACAGACTGCTAAATCTGGCACTAACAATTGGTTTCCATTGAAAGTCATTTAAATTCCCTTTTCTCTTTCATCCTGACTTCAACAACCCATCATTATCGAATCTTGATGTCCAAAGGCATTGACTTACTGCCATGTTTAGCTGATTTGCTTGATGAGTTAATTAGCAATCAGGTAACAAATAAAGTGAATCTATACAGTGGTGCTAACATTTCCAGCAGTAATATTAGTGATTGATTGAGGTTTTAACAGTTTAAAAATTTAGTTAGCAAATGTATTTCTTAATCTTTCTTTTTAGGACATTGAATTTATACAGGCCCTCATTTTCCTTATGGGTTCTGGAATTATCTCAAAATCCTAAATCTAACTAAGCAGACCAAAAGCACTTTATTGGCTCCTGCTTGCAGAAAACAGACTGCAGTTTTTCAGTGAAGGTATGGCTTGGGCAACTACAGCAAAATTCTAAAATATAATTGTTCTGACCACTGAGCCACCCCACCACTTTATGCGTACTATTTCACATTGCCTGTTTTCTCAAGCAGAGGTTGGAGGAATCCCACTCTTTGATCACACACGCAGCTGTATTAATGGGTTCTCTTTGGATTTTTTACTATTGAGAAGCATTTGAAATTTAGAGGCGGACCCATTGTCGAGAGAAGGAGAAAAGGGGCGGTTTAGAAGCCTCATGCTGTTGGTAAATGCTTATTTTCTTCAGATTGTTTTCTCTGTTACCAGCATGACTAAAAATGGGAACAATTAGGATCAAATTTTGATCATCTCATTTTTTTTGATCCGCTAAGAGCAACTTGAAGCTTTGTATTTAAAAATTTTAAAAAACAGAGGCATAGGCCACTTTAAATATGTTCAGATAAGAATTCTTTAGTTTGACTGCAGAATATCAACCAAAATCATCTTACTGACGTTTTATAAAATTAATGAAGGAGTTCAGTTCGTTTAGCCAATTCACAGCTGAAATATTGAGGGAACATGTTTTTATCAATTATCATTATAAGACATTACAATCTAGGACATTTATGGGGACACCTTTTACTGGGGACAGGTGCTCCAAAATGGGGACTGTCCGCGGAAAACATGGACATCTGATCACCCTAACAGTAGTAGCGATAAAGCAAAATTAAATAGATTTCTCCTAAATGTTTGTTTAGTTGAACAGTCATTTCAACTAAACAAAAGAAAAAGAAATCTGTGGAACACACCCAAACTAATTTGGGTGTTTTTTCCCCCGATTCTTAAAAAAAAAAAAAAAAATGAATCTGAATTTATTCTTCATGCGCGTATGAAGGGGAATCATGTCTACAACTGGTTTGTTCAAATTTTGAAATCTGCTCTGCAAACATGCACATGAAAATGTAAATACTTATTTGATGAATGCTAAGAATGTTGGTTAACAAATAATATGCTGTTGTCTTATTTTTATATTTGTTTGAACATAGTCCTGTAACGTTAGGAGAGGTAAGTGAAGGCTTGTACTGGCCTCTAAGCCTCTTGTGTTGGTGTACATACTCTATGTCTTACAGAGTCTAATATCAAGTGATGCTGTGAATCTCTATGTGTGAGCAAAGTATTGAAAAAAATCTCTTGAAAATATTTTGTTCCAATAAGTTTAAACATAACTAGTATTTTCTGCCTTTATAGATTTTTCAAAAAAAAAAAAAAATGAAAGGAGCTTATATTAGATATCTGTCATCAGTAATTACAATAAAGATTCCCTCCATTAGCTGATTATGTAAACATAAAATAGGTCAGAGGCTACAGACCCAGATGATGCACTCAGCGTCCAGGAGTTTCGTCATGCAGCTAATGGCTGTTTTTGAATCAATGGACAGCAGCCCGGTGACAGACGGCTACAAACTGTTTAGGAAATCAGATAAAGAATGTGAAGAGGATTAAGAAACAATATACCATTTTAACTTGTAGGTTTTACTTTAACAGGACAAAATGGAGATGATATGGTCTCTATAAGTTTCTAAAAGTTTTTAAAATTATTGTAAGTACATGAGAATTTCCACAGTGGCCTCGACTCTTTCATTGCTTCAGGAGTTTTTTTATTTGGCAGATATATTGTTCAAGCTTCACTGCATTCAGTGCTCTTGCTTGACTCTGTTACTGTAAGGCTTCCAGGTATTGTGGCTGAAAATCATATTTTCCACAACCAGGCTTGAGTTTCTACTAATAAGCTTTGTTTGATTTTGTAATACGGTACTTAGTCTCACAGCCCAACAACTTCACTTTCCTCTTGTCAGTCCAAAATAATTCTCGTAGACATTATGTTGTCCATTTTGGTCAAACTCTGTTAAGCCTCATCTTGCATAATATGATACAAGGGTTAATTTATTAAGATCCTTGAAAAAATTGGATCTGTCTTGAATGCCTTCAACGATTGAAAAAGACTTTCGTTCAATGTAGAATGATTGACTTTAAATGATTTGAAAAGTACCTGATGACCCATTTTAGATTGGTGAATAGCAACATATTATCTCTTAGATCACGGAGGATAATAAATAGATAAAAGGCGATTTATTAGCTGCTCCATCTAACATTAAAGTTACTACAGGAAACAAGGTTTGTATTCAGTTTTTTTTTCTCTTGAGCTATTTTTTGATTTAAGCGCCCTCTATGTTTGATAAATATTGACATTATGGTTCAGGTTTTTCATTTCTGTAAATAAAAGATTTAATTATGTATTTTTTACTTTTAGATAACAGGTCACTATATCTAGATATGCAGAACGCTAGAATTGTGAGTTTCAAAAGCCTGAGAGATTAATCAGCTAAAAGACAAATTTCCAAAAAAAACTTAAGATTTAACTGCTGTTAAGTTGAGCTTTATAGGTTAACTCTGCCAGAAAAAAAAAAGGAAACAGCAGAACAATAAGTATAATATAGATGTGTAAAAAAGCCTTAAAATGTATGTTTTTTATGGAGACTTCATAAGCCCAAGATGCCAGTGTTCTTAAGCTTTTATTTACCGGCCTTACCACCCTGCCTAAGCAGCCTGCATATAAGATTTATACCTCCTTCAGCCCTGTTTTTTATACTTATTAATCGCTCAGACTTTAGATGATGTTAAGTTGCGATGAGCTGTTTTATTAGAGATATTTTTATGCAGATTAACACACAACTGACCAATACCAGAATTCTACATTCTTTTGAGTTTTCTATATTGTAAAGTGACTTGGATAAATGGACCTGTGCACCACTTCATATTCTCATTCATGCTTTTGAACAGAAATTTTAACAGTATGAATGGGAATGAACTTCAATGGAAAATTATGGATGACAAATAAAAGTTCCACACTCACTATGATCAACGATATTCTAAAAGATAGAGTACAAAAATAGATTCTTATAGATTTACTTTATAGGAGCTGTTATAGGTGCAATGAAGTATGGGAATTTATCACGAATGGTCATTTTTTAATTAAAGGTTGAATTTATTTTAATGCTTTTTGTTTTACATATCTTTAGCTGCAGTGTAAGGGCACTGTAATTTAAAAAGTCGACATTGCAGCAAATGCCTAATGTAATTTTTCTTTGATATTGCTGCTTGTTGCAGGTCTTCAGCCTGCACTTCATGTAGCACATAATGAGGTCAAAGCTTAGAGTCAGTCATGAAAATTAGCTCTGGCGGAGTTTAATATGGGTGAATACTAGTTTTTACACATCAGAGATTGCAAAACAAACCCCCATCTCCACAGGGATCTTTTGAAATAGCAGCACATGTAATGTGGTCCCACTTGTACACTTTGCCTGCATAATAAGTCACTCATCTGTGCA